AGCAACAGAGGTGAGCCCGTGATGGGAATTCTTATGGTGAGTTGACCGTGGAGACGCGCGGAACAGAGATGAGCGGTTGTGGAATTGAGCTGTGAATCGGGTGGAAGTTAAAGGAGGATAACTAAAGGCGTTTTGCTAAAAGGAAATATGTCTTCAGAAAATAACACTACATGTCGCGATTATGTGCAATTTTTGTGATTAAAACAAATCTGTTGCAAGTTGGAGCGCTTAATGTGATCATATATGCATGATAACGCCAAGAAAACAAAGACACATTCGAATGTTGATCGGGGAGAGAATTGTCGTTGAAAGTATATAGGTTGCAAACCAAGGATTAACACAAACAGCCGAAACACGAAGATGATAATAGGACGGTGTTGTGTTCATAAATGATCATGATGAGGAGAATTGTGAGCAGTTGATGTATATGGGCAAGGAAGCACGATAATTAAAGATCGCCGTTGAGACAGCTTCCACTCCAGGCAATTTGAGCTGGAACGCTGGATTCATGGGCAAAAGTTACTGGTCTAATTCTAAAACATGTCGGATGGTTTCTTTCTGCAATTCCATTTGGTTCGGGTGTATGCGGGCAGCTGACCCGTTTGATAATGCCCTGTTCTTGCAAAAACGAACGTGGAAAAATTTAGTTAATAACCTCGCAACCTCCATCCGATTGAAACGCTTTCGCCCTTTTTCCAAATTGGGTTTTGTTACGATGAGTGCAAAACACATTTTGAATTTAGAGAATGTTTCGCTCTTTGTTATGCATGAAATAAATCCATGAACGTCGCGATGGTGGTCGTCTATAAAGATAACGTAATAGCCAAATCCATTAAACGAGGGAAACGGGGCCGGCCCCCATACATCGGAATGTATTGAGATTCCAAAAGGGAGATGAGGTACCCAAATTGGCTTTTATTTAAACAAATCCTTATGGCTCTTGGCCTTATTACAAGAGTTACAAATCGTAATAGAGGCAATTAATTAAGAGAAGCAGTATTGATAACTAGCAGAGATGGAGGATCTGATTTTTTCGGATGTCCAGCCTTGAATGTTACGCCCGTTGCAGAGCGAAAGTAGAGTTAGAATCTGGCATTGAAAAGCGGTCGGTATTCCGTCCGGCATCGTGTGAATATGGTAGAGCCATTTGCTAAGTCGACCACGGAGAGCAGTTGAATGATCCGGGAGAGTCTTTCATTTCAAAACTAGTTAGCATGGGAACGTAACTGTAGATAGAGGTATCAGACGTTTAGTTTGCGAAACAGGAAAGAAGATGTGACGGTGAGCGTGGCGCACGTGTAAAAGGTTACGTAGATGAGCTACGCGCGTTGTCAGGTAGAGCAAAGCAACCAGCGATGACCGGAATGTTGAATCGGTCGTAAAGACGCGTTGGCTACCGAAATTGAGTCTTGTGACCGGATGATGTAAGGCAGAGGCCATTTTGTTTATTGGAACTACTGGAGTCAAGTGAGATGATGCTCAGTGTCAAGATCCAGTCCTTGAGTTGGATAGGAGGAACGGATGAAGCGAGCATTGCAAGTGGGATTGTAGGTTGAGTCGAGAGCAATACTGATCACAGCGATACCATGAATTTGATAGCAATGATGTCCGGTTTTGCCACAGATTTGGCAACGCGGCGGTGATTCCCGCTAGAATGGTCAGTGTTATTGGACGGTGGTATGTATTCACAGAAGCATTAAGTTTTGTTCTTGATTCTTGTTGGGGTGTTGAAGTTGCGGAACTCTCGACTTGATTGTTCAGGGCCGCACTAAAGAGCAGGTGCATGTGACAAGTGATCCTTGGCCACATCTTGACTTGATGTGGATTTCTCGTTGCACAAAGGAGGGAGTTAAGTTGTCCAATCAGCAAGGGATCGGAGATGAGCGAATAGATGTGTTGAAGAGGTAAGCTAGGAGGGAGACATTCAGGAATATACAAGAATGATATCCTGCCGGATCACCTTGACCCGGATGCAGCAATATTGTTACTGTGGTTCTTGATCTGGGGAGATATGTGTTGCATCCGTTAGATCCTTCATTTGACGTGAGTTGAAGCTGCGTTCTTAGTTGCATCTCTCTGACCGGCTCGAGTTGTAATCGATGCTCCAATGTCGTTCCAACTTCATGAGCGGACGTCGCCGTGGTGACGTTATGGAAGAAGCGATGAGCGAAATTGTTAACGAAACAGGGCTAACAAGAGAGTTTGTCCACAAGAATCTAAGGTAGCGTGGGACTCGAAGTATTGGCTTCGGAGCGGAGAGGGAGAGAGGCACCGGAGAGATGAACCGGCGTACCTATTGCCGTGAACGCTGAAGGGATTTTTGAATCCTCCACATTATGGCATATTTTCAGAAGTAGGGGATGAGGTATCAGATTTCTTAATGTTGAAATGAGGAACTTGAGAGGTTGCCAGGATAGAGCACGTCGGTGGTTAATGGGTGTGCCGGCGAGGAGAGTAGGCAGGAGAGGGAGGGAAGACGTTGAATCTTGGATCCTCATTAGGCTTCTTTGATACCATGTGAGAAGTGTAGAGATTCTTGAAAAAGACGAGAATAAGGACAAGCCACCAGTATGCACGAAGGGAGAAATAGAATGAAATCTATCTAATTTCAGTAGAACTGTATTACAGGGTAATTTACTTAAAGACTAAGCAAATGCGCTTAGAAACGATAAATATTCCAATAAATAATGGTAAATGATGATGCCTATATATATTATATATATATATTATAATATTTATAAATATATATATATATATATATTATATATATATACTATATATATACAAGAGAGAGAAGAGAGAGAGAGAGAGAGAGAGAGGACTTCATCACAAACTTAGCAATGATTTTGCAATGGCTAGAAGCATCTAAATTTGAAATTTAATCATTCACCTAAATGACTAGATAAATTGTTATGCCCCAAGGTCTAATTGAAGAATAAGTTCTTAACAACTAATTGTCTTAACGCAAATTATTCATTGATAGAGTACTAAACATCCGAGAAAAAATAATAAAATACAACGTAACAAAGAATTTCACTTTTCATTTCTTCCAAATATTTATTTACATTAGTCCTATGTATTTCTTAACATCAAAATATAAGAAAATCTTGAACTCAAAAGAATACCTCTTATTCCCTATTCTTGATACTTGGAACCTATCAACACATACGTAGCTGGGATTATTTTCCTTTACCTGAAAGTATAACAATTCATAGAGTGAACACAAACATGTCTAGTATGTACACTTTTTAAAATTCCTATTACCAAATTCATTATCCATTTTATATTGCACTATAAAAAATTATTTAAATAATAAATTTTATTATCAGAAAAAACCCTAGTACTTATCAACATGAATTATGAATTGCTTACTTCTATATTAACTTTATCATAATAGCAACATATATATGACTTAATGTGGACAAATTTTAGAAATTCATATTCATAATTGGATACTCGAACTTGCACATTTTTATGGTAACATATACTTATACTTGCATTTTTCATAGAAGCCTTTCTACATAGATGTCACTATAGTTCTTAACATAATATTACTTGCACTTGAATTTATGTCATTTATTGGAATATGCAATGCATGAATATGATATGCACATGTTTTGATGCTTACTTATAACTTCACTTTCACTTATGCATTCCAAGGTCAACCCTCACTAGATAAAGGAGACCAACCCTATTTCCCTTATGACTTTACTTCCACTTATAACTCCCTTAAGCCTCCCAACCCCTCATAAAGCATATCAAGCCATAAATAATCTCTCATGCATGTCCACATAAAGTAGATGCATGGGGTCAGAATCAAAAGCAAAATAGAATAAAAATTTAGGCGCATATAAACAAAAATACATATGTAAATTGAACATTTTAGCAGTTAAATATAACTTTAAACATGAATATGATGATGCATATTGTGACGCCCCAAGATCTAGAGAAGAATCTAATCCTAATTTTCTTAAACTTCCTAAGTTAATCATCTCATATTTATAGATACACCAGAGCCACCAATCACAAGAACATGAATATATAGAAAAACATTGAAAGTGTGCAAAACATATATTCATTTCTTAATATAATCATATACAAAAATCCATATTTCAAACACTTTTAATAAAAAATATAAATAATCTGGATTTCCAAAACCATAAAAACCTGACAACCCGACAATCCTGTTTCTTATCAAATCGGGTATACTCAACAAGTTCTTTTCCTTTGCCTGGAATATTAAAAGCAATAGAATGAGTTCACAACTCAGTAGGCAAGATCTAATTCTCATCATAGCACGTAGGCCCCTTCTATGAGTTTTTCAAAAAGAAAAAAATAAATGAGTCAATTAAATTTCATTATATTGATATTAAATAGACGGCCTATTATATATAAAATCACCTTACTTAAAATGTAAGGCACTATAAAATGAATTACTAGGGACAAATGACTATTGATGCTTAATTATGATGTTGGTTAACAAGTCATACTCAGCTTAATATTTGTGTTGAGCTGGTTTGTTAGACAAGTCAATCAAATTTGAATAATATTTATCATCTCATTAAGTCTCCAATAGAACCCTAACAAAATCTCATGTTCAACTTCTCAAACCTGTTTAGCTTAATTATATTATAACTCATGATTTTCCATTAATTATTATACTAATATATATATTTTTTTAAATGAGCAAAGTCAAGAATTAATGAGTCCAACAAGAACTCGCTTTATTTTATCTCGTTAGCTCATTGAGCCTAACCCGAGTCAGCTCAAATTTGGCATGGTTCAGTCACACCCCTTAGCCCAATCTAACTTCACAAGCACGTGCCAACTCACACAAGTGCTACAGGTCACACGTACGTGACTCACCAAGTAATAATATGACGGAGACAAAGCCAATATGTCTCCAAAATGGCTTATCAGCAGCACTTCACATCAGTCAATAACTAAGGCGAGGACAGTTGAGATTTACATAAATGCAGCCATGTGTCAAGCTCTCCACTCCTTCCCTAATTAAGTTAAAACCATATGCTCTCCTTTTCTATATAAGCAATTGAACCAGCTAGCTTCTCAGACTTACCAGGTACCGCCATTGTTCTTCTGCAACTTAGCTTCGAAGCAGCCATGGGCCTTTTCTTTCCTCTTCTTTCTTCAGTCTTTCTGGTGATTTGAAAGCTTTTATATATGAATGAATATATGCTTTTATTTTCTAACATATATAAGATTCATAAACTATAATTCTTCTGTTTTTTTTTTTTTTTTTTTTTTTTTTTTTTTTTTTTTTTTTGGAACAGTTCATTATTATAGTAGGAGCAAACCAGGCTAATTTAGATCCCCAAATCTATTGGCGCACCATTCTTCCCCATACTCCTATGCCAAGTGCTATTGAACAACTCCTCCAGCCGGGTAAATGATCTCTCTCTCTCTCTCTCTGGAGTAATTATTGTGTCCGGACACCGAACGCGTTCAGAGACGAATAACAAAGCGCCACGTCACTTGGGTGCTTGGTACCAAGCACTCGTATTGCTCTGTATTTGTCCGGATTTCCGATTTTTTGTCCGGATGTAATAACTTAATTTTCGTGTGTGTGGGGCTAAGAGAACTAAAATCTTATACGGAAAGTTATTATTATTATTATTTTTTTCTTACATTAACCAATCTTTTAGGTTATAGGGAAAGTTATTATCCTCACTAATCCTTAGAATGAGATTTAGGGTTGCAAGTCACTGTTAATATTTGTATAAAAATCATGAATCTTAATGATCAAATGAGTCATGCAAGGGATTATTTACAATTATTTTTAAGAAATTTTTTTTAAGGGGACATGATTGGATAATCACATTCAAATTTAAATAACTAGATTCATTATTTTAATATTTTATTATAAAAACATCAGTTATTATTTATATTAAAATAATAGTAATCATAGACTAAAAAATATAATTTGAGTTGATTGATTACAAAAATTAATGATAAATTAGAACAACTTAAAATAATTTATTTTTAATATATCATTATTTATTTATATATTCTTTTAATTTATGACTTATTTAATAAGCATACAAATAATTGCCTCATTCAAAAATATAATAATTAAACAAAAAATATATAATAAATCTAAGTATACAATATCTAATTAAACATGTACTAAAAAAGTTAATTCTTTTTTTATTTATTTAAATTTAATTAATGTGAGATTAAAATTTATAATTTAAAAAATTTATATATTTTTAGCAATATTAACTTAAATCTCATTTACCCTTCTTTAATTTTATTGGTGAGATTTTTTTTTTTTTTTTTTTTTGAGAAAATAATTCCTCTTCTATCATAGATGTGTACGATAACAAGCCGGACACCTCAGTGAACGTTGGCAAGGACGGAGTCATCGTGAACACGGGCAAAGGTACCTCAGTCAACGTCGGAGAAGGAGGAGTCAACGTTAACACCGGTAAAGGCACTTCAGTCAACGTCGGCCCCGGCGGCGTCGGCGTAAACACTGGCAATTCAAAGCCCGGCGGCACCACAGTCGGCGTCGGCAAAGGCGGAGTCAATGTCCACACCGGCAAGGGTACCTCCGTCAACGTAGGCCCCGGCGGCGTCGGCGTAAACACTGGCAATTCAAAGCCCGGCGACACCACAGTCGGCGTCGGCAAAGGCGGAGTCAATGTCCACACCGGCAAGGGTACATCCGTCAACGTCGGCCCCGGCGGAGTCGGCGTAAACACTGGCAATTCAAAGCCCGGCGACACCACAGTTGGCGTCGGCAAAGGCGGAGTCAATGTCGACACCGGCAAGGGTACCTCCGTCAACGTCGGCCACGGCGGGGTCGGCGTCCAAACCGGCCCCACTCACAAGCCTGGCGGTACCACCGTTAACGTTGGCAAAGGCGGCGTTGGCGTCGATGTCAAACCCAAAGGCAAGCCCGTCCTCGTCCACGTCAGTCCCTTCATCTACAATTACGCAGCCACCGACACGCAGTTACACGATAACCCTGCCGTCGCTCTCTTCTTCCTCCGGCAAGACCTCCGCCGCGGCAAACAATTCACTTTACAGCTAGCAGAAGGCGGCGGGGCCGCCAAATCTTTCATCCCTCGATCCTCGGCCGAATCTGTACCTTTCTCTACAGCAGAGCTCCCTGCTATTCTCTCCCGGTTTAGCATTCCGGTCGGCTCCGCCCAGGCGGCGGCGACGGAGAAAACGCTGAGCGAGTGCGAGGCGGCGCCAGTGGCAGGGGAGAAGAAGTTGTGCGCGACATCATTGGAGTCGATGGTAGACTTCGCGACGACGAGCCTCGGAACGCGCGAGGTGGTGGCAGTGGCAACGGAGGGAGGCAGCTCCGCCGGAGAGCGGCGGGTTTACAAGATTGGGTCGGTTCGAACGGTGGCGGCAGGAGGGGGAAAAGGGGTGGTGTCGTGCCACCCGGAGGCTTATGCTTACGCGGTTTTCTTCTGCCATGCGACGGCGTCGTCGGAGGTTTATGAGGTGGAGATGGCGGCGGAGGGCGGTAAGTCGGGTGTGAAGGCGGTGGCGGTTTGCCATACGGATACGGCGGGGTGGAATCCGAACCATTTGGCGTTTAGGGTGCTTAATGTGAAGCCGGGGACGGTGCCGGTGTGCCACTTCCTGCCGCAGGATCATCTGGTGTGGGCGGAGAAGGTGTGAGGATGGTTGTGGAGAAGGGCGTTGATGTCTGATGTGGCCCGTTGTGTAGCGGATTCGATTTGAGTGAATAGTTTATGGTTGGATTATGTTGTACGAGACTTCTGAGTATTTCACTGTTGAGTATGTTTACTACATAAGAAAATAATAATAATAATAATAATAATAATAATAATAATATTGTATGTATAATGTTGTGGTGATTTACATTACTTTTCATTGTTAGTTATTACTTAGCTATAGCTAATTAATTTATGATTAAATGATATTTTCATAAGATTATTTGGATTTTATTTTTCAATAAATTTATAATTAATCCAATAATATAAAAAAATATTGATGTAAATTTAATTGGATATAAATGAAGCACTTTGATGCATAATTAGAAATATCTCGAAATCATTTGAAAAGCAAAATGTTCTTCATATTTTTAATCTTTTTAGAAAATCTTCTGAATAGATACATAGGTCATATTATGATATCATACATATAATAAATATGTTTAATGTGAAATTAGATTATTTCTTTGATTAATTATTATAAGTAAGCTTAAACCCTACATGAGCTAATAAACCCTCTTGATTAGACTAAAATCCTTTTGAGGTTACTCTTAACTCATACATATTTATAACCCCATTAGACTTTAAATGCCCATAGCGTATTTAAGCTAAGTTGAACTCTATATTGTTTGGACCATTTCCTTATATAGATGGCACTTTAAATATTAGATGAACCAACCAGGTCAGTGTGTGTTCATCTTAATTAAATTGTGAGTAAACTTAATTAAGTTGAACTATTCTAAATTGATCTATCTTATTTAACAAGTGAAGTGACTAAGTTTGAATTGAACTTATAATACTTTAAGGGATAATATGAATAATCCACCTTATGCCTCTAATTAGAGGATCAAACTAGATATACTTTAGTGATTAGTCATGCCAATCCTGAATGGTTAGATAGATCAAAATTATCCCCTAAATCAAAATTATAACCTATTAGATTAGCTTTGGCCCTTCAATCAATTGAACATCAAATCACTCCATGAGTAATTAAAGTGACTTAACATTGGCAATGCTCTTGCGCGAGGTTAACCCAACTAATTTAGGATGCACTTATCATAATACGACTAATTAGGACCTATTAATCCATTATATATTGACTATATCTTTAATGGATTTGTTATTGACTTAGTCAACGTTAAAGGAACCGTAGGAAAATCTCGAGAGGTTTAATAAACCTAGCTAAACTTTATATGGTTAACCTAATTTAGTTTTAGACCTAAAGTTAATTTTGATTGACTTAACCATTACTAAGGTTTAATTGAGTAAACTTGTACGACCATAAGCTCCATTAGCATTTTCCTTAAACCAAAACCAACCCTTAAGAAACTTAAGTTGAACTAACTAGTTAATCTAACCTATCCTAAACTTGATGGGTTGACTCTTATGGAATGAATGAATTATATATATATATATATATATACTTAACCATTACTAAGGTTTAATTGAGTAAACTTGTACGACCATAAGCTCCATTAGCATTTTCCTTAAACCAAAACCAACCCTTAAGAAACTTAAGTTGAACTAACTAGTTAATCTAACCTATCCTAAACTTGATGGGTTGACTCTTATGGAATGAATGAATTATATATATATATATATATATATATATATAAGGTTTAGGGTTAAAGATTTAAGGTTTACATACACATACTTAATCAAAGGATTGAAAATTTTGAATTTCTTCTATTTATATTTAAATATCTTTGATATCGGTTTACATCTTATTTTGATCATTAAATTTGTTCATGGTTAGCCAATTTAATTAGCACTACATACCCTTATTTAACAAACATCAATTGCTTTAATGCACTTCATGGAGCGAACTAGTGGGCAAAGTTACATACATTATAATATAATAGCTCAAAGGATTAATTGGTACTTGGGCTTCTAATTCATTGAAACAAAGTAAAATTAAAAAATGTTTTTTTAAATTCACCCTTGTTGAAAACATTTGTTTCAAAAATATAAAGTCAACTATTTTTTTAAATTATTAAACATGCTTTATATTTCTAATTTCAAATCAACCTATAAGATCATTATGTCTTTAGAATTTCAAGACCCCCCAAACAATATGTATGATTTTTACAAGATAACATCTAATATGACAATGTGTCAAGATAAATATTATTAATTATAATAATATAAGCTATTACTTATATATATAATTATAATTATAAAAAATCTTCCTTTAGTTTCTTCTATTGAGTATCCTAAGAGTTCAAGAATGAATGCTTTGCGCATATTTTCCTTTAGAATCCTACATTTCATACCATGTTACATCAATCTTCCTTTTAGTTCCTTAAATCAAATCCTTGAAAGCTAAAATTTTTAATTAATATTAATCCAAAATTTTAATGAAGAATATTTTTGAGAAATAACTCTTAAGATTTAATTCATTATACTTGTTGCGTGTGAGAATATACGCGGCGATAGAGTTTGTAAATTCGCGTCCAAGCGTTGCACGAGTATTTCACACACAAACAGAAAAGAGAAAGTGAACACCAAGGTTTTTACATCCTTTGATCATGCACCGTTCGTTGGACATTTGATGGCCTTAATGATGTCGGAATTTGATGATCTTGGGCTCGTTGGATTCGTCTCGTCGAGCCCTTCGATTCGAGTATAAGCTCGTCAAAATCGGAGACCGTTTGGTAACTCAAATTGCGGTTTGAACCTTCCAACAACGCTTCGAACACTTGATCCGGACTCATTTGGGCTCGGATTAGGTTGATCTTGGTGTCGTTGGGTTCGTATTTCCGAGACGCTCAGTTTGACTATAAG